AGTTATCATATTTTGTTTATTTTTAAACATTTAAGAGGCCTCAGAAAATGTTATGCTACGGGCCCTAAAATCCTAGTTACGCCACTGACGACGACTAATGTTTTATAATACTTTATTATACGCGGGGTGCGAACCCGCAACGATTATATAATGTTCTATTTTCACACATCGCGACCGTCACGACAACGACGACATCTTCTGGTTCAGAGTGGTTCTGCTTGGGTATAAAACTGGAATAGTAAACAATATCTCGGCAGAGATAATAATATTATTATTATTATTCGTCTCGTAATACTTTGCAGCAGCAGTGGCCTCGGCGCTGCGCACACATAAAATTAATGTTATAATAATTATAACATCGATGCCGCGTATAATTTATTAGTTTTAATTCAGCATAATATGCAAAATAGGTGAAACGCCGCGCTCGATCCGTTGTTGTATTATCTACATACACACACACACACACACATATATATATTACATTTATTATTATTATATATTGTTCCGTTCGGCCGAATGATGTCTAGCGTATATATAGCAATTAATTCGCGTAAACGTATAATGTATGCGCGCTGTTGCAGCTCTCTTTCGATGTTATACTATATATATGTACTGTACGCAAGTGTATAATGTATACATTGATACACGTATTATACAGATAGGTACGCATTAGCCATATACATTTATAAATATATAGATGTATAATATTGTAGTGCTCACACACGTATGTGTACGGTACATTGAATGCGGTTTCCTCGTTTATTTTATTCTTTTTTGTTATTTGGTTTTTGTTCTAACGCGTGGGCTGGTCCCACGGGAAAACGACGATTCGGACGGAGAAAAAAAATTTTATGTATAAATAAAACGTCGAACGGCATCGATACGAACCGTTTTTGTTTTTTTATTGTCTGGCTATTCGTACAATATGACGTGATTACTACATTTGAATGTAATCGTAATAATGTCGTAAATGTCTACAAAGACGCCCCTTCCCTTCCACTCGATTTTTGGGATGTTGGCCGATCGACTCTAAAACAGAGTACGCGTGCACATCGCACACCGTATACCGTCAAATATTATTAATATTATTATCTATATACAAACGAGTTATCACAATATGAGTATTAAGTCTTATTATAGGTAGGTGTTAGGCAAAATCACGACAAATCTATCCAATAATAGTATGTTAAAACTTCTCTATTATATAATATAATATTATGGTTCAATTTAATTGAATAAACCAATCACAATTCACTGAATAATGTTTTAGCCTTTTGGGGACAAGCTCACTATTTTTCGTCAAATATTTAGTGATTGGCCATGCAACCAGGCAATACCATGTTATTACCTACCTTTATTAAATCAGCTTAGATGACTTGTCTCCTTAGCAGATAGACTGATAGACAATAATGTTATCAGCTTATTATTATTACGAAATTTGATCAATTAACACGATTGTATTTGATAAATGGTAATTATACATAATAATAATTTTTTTTTTTTACAAAATGTAAAGGTTATTGTTGAATTAGCTTGTTGTATAAATAACTATGTGTTTTGTGTCAAACTGCAATATTGGGCACTATATACCCGTCTATGAATAATAAATAAATAAATAATATCTGATAACAAATATAATCGTAAAAAATAATATGATTTTGACGTTTAGGTAAACCGCGTCTCGACGAAACGTAATAATTATTGTTGTCTAAAAAAACATAGGTTTCACATTATTTCATCTTTGCGTTTATTATAATATGAAATACTTTCCATGGAATATTCTGGTTTCGTGGTCAAACTGATATTTATAATATTATATATATTATATCTTTATTTGAAATCCGAATAAAACGTAACCGTGGATCTAGGAAACATATTATCATGTAATCCTATAAGCGTCATCGACGAGCTCGTGTGGTGCCTACATAAAGTACAAAATGTAATAAATAGTGTCTATTAATTTCGCATATTCCATATTATTTATATATATTTTTATACGGCACGCGAAACCAAATATGTATAGGTATGTCTAGTGTCTACGCCTCTACGGTTTTTGTATAAAACGTTATTAAATTTATTTACGATAGTTTAAAAAAATACATATAATTTATTAAATATCATCGTTTAAGATTTACCAAAATTTTGGCACGATTTCAATTTAAAAAAAAAAAATTAATATTGTAATATGTAGTTGGAATTTTATCAACTACGTTAGAATACAGTGAAAAACAAAATTGCTAAAAAATTATATTAAAAGCAACCATCATTCTCAACATTTTTACACGTTTAATAATTTTCTAGGTGTCATTTCGAAAAAAAAAGATGGACGAAACGTGAACACTTTAAGAAGAATTGAATTTATAATTCTTGGTACCTATATTAATTCATACACTCAAATAAAACGCGATGTGGAAGTTACATATTTTTTTAATATTCAAATGAGTTAGTTTGAAATATTGAGAAAATGAAATATTTAGAGTAAAAAAAAAATATATAGTTAATTTCCAAATGAATATTCGAGAAGTTTCAATAATAAATAATTCAAGTTTGGACTTTTAAGTTCCTAAGAAGAACATAAATCATCAAGAAAACGTATTAATTATTATAGTACCTACATATTAGGAAAACTTCTGAACAACGATGTTTACTCAAACCGTAACCTACCTATATGTATATTATAAGCTATTATTAAATCTAAAGGTAAATGTTGTCAATTCAGTGAGGACATGTCTAGGTTTGCATGCTATCGTTCCATCGAAATCTTAAATAATGATGATAATAATTAACATGTAAACGTTAAGACGTCGAGTAGTTAAAATAAATAGTAAAATTACACATTTTTTAATTCGTATTTATATAATCAATACCAGATGAGTATAACGTAGATTGGTTTTAACAAAATGTATAATATTATACGTATTATACAATTAATCGGCGCCAGTTGCAGTCATAGATTTTAATCTATGGCCATTTATAATATGACTATACAACATTTTATTTTAAATAGAATTGACTTGCCGACTACGGTCAACTGACGTGTAGTATGCAGTGGACACAATTCGTCTTGTCACTATTATTTGTTGTAATTCGTTACACGCAGGATTGTAAATTAATCATCAATCTATATATATAT